TAATTTCTATTGATGGGAAAATGGTTTAGGCATAAGGGATAATTGTTCTAGCATATTTCATAATGTTGATGGCCCATCTATGGAATGGAAGGCTCAAATCTCTCACCCGAGAAGTTACCCAAGATCAATGACTTATATTCAATATCATAAGAAGAGGTAAACCAAGAAAAACTCTAAGAAATCCTAATCTTGTTCAAAGCTTATAAAAAAATAGATTGTCTCTATCCAAAATCTCTGCAAGTTATTTTTTTCTCTCTCTCTCTCTTAAGAAAGTATCTCTCTCTGTCCCTCAAGAAACCCAAAGAGGCACACCCTACCCTCTTATCTTTGGATATCTCTCTTATGACAGTTCTCTCAACTCTCTCACGATCTCTTATCTCTCACTGTGGTTTTAGACTATATGCTTATGGTAGAAAAGAGAAGCATATTTCTACAATTAGGTTGTTAAGGGGATTCACTTAAGAGTTTGAGATTTTTGATACATGAGTTCACTGTTCCATTAGAGGGTTTGACATGGATCTTAGTGTGGACCATTATTGGTTAGCTCTAGGTCAAACATATCTCAGAGTAGATCAGTTAGGGGTTACATGACGATCGTCCACTTTAGTCTAGATCATCCTTCCGATTGACGCTTTTTTTTTTTTTTTTTTTAAGTTATGAGTTTCATACTTTACCTCATTTAATTATAGGACCCACACGATCTGTTTTCATAGCACAAATCCTCGAACTTGATGGGGAAGGCTTGGAAACTCTCATTGAATTGTTGAGTTTTAAGGTGGAACTTGCTTGGGGTATGTAACTATAACTATAAGAGGGATGTGGAGCTCCCTTAGGAGCTTCAGATGAAAAAAAAAGAGAAGGGCACATCACAAACTCCAGATAGGAAAATGAGAGAGGGGTGTACCACTTTTTTGGTGGTATTCGATCGCTTTTCACAATAAGAGAAACTTTTTTGGGTTGTTTGGTCACCTAAAGTTCAGGTGTTAGACTGGATTTTTTTTTAGAACTTTAGCATTTTCCAGTTTGCGGAAAATCCTATAGTGAAAGTACGTCCACATGTCTTAAAAATCAGAAACGTGGACTTCCTTCACTCCCCATTGGAAAAGTGAATTAGTCAAAAAATGGCAAGTCGGATCTCCCAATTTTGGATAGTTTTGTCATTTTGAGATTGTTCACAGAGCTTCAAACATTGTTATATTGTTTTAAAATTCTAGGGCCTAATTGGGTAGGTTTAAAAAATAAAGAAATACTTTATAAAATAAAATTACCAAACTTCTTTAAGATTTAGGCATAAAATGGTTACTATCTATTATAATGGTGGCTGATATTTTTGTTGGCTTTATGTGGTTATTTAAATGTCTTATCAGAGCACGTACTGAAATTCTATAGTTAAATATTGATTTAAGTAGGAGTGTGGTCGACTTTGGACTATGAAGCATTACTAATGACAATACCAATGTGATGTCTAAAATCCGTAGTCTTGAACATTGTGTGAGCACAACTGTAAGGGTTTCGATGTAGGGTTATCCCTTGATGAAATCGAAGTTGTACCCAAGACAGATACACCAGGGGACTAGATGTTAACCTTGTGTGTGATGGTTGGCTAGAGAGGACAATGACTTAAATCCTTATCGTTACTATCATATGGTATGTACACTAGATAGTTGTCCAGGAAGCGGCCCCTTTGGATAAATGTGTGTGACGTGTACATGTACGGAAGATATGACTCCTTGTAACACTTGATTGTGTTGGAAGGCCCCATAGAGTATAGTGCTAGACTGAGGCCTAGACTTGTCCTCAAGGAGGAATCTGTAATCCACGGATTAAGATCGAGTCTCCTTTATTTGTTTGTTGTCTTTGATAGTCCAATCATGAACCCCTGCGAAGAACTGTGGGTCATGAAAATTATTCGGCCAGCTTGAAAATGGTGTAGTAAGATGCGGTTTTTAAAAATGATGTAGTTAAATTTTTATACCTCTCTGAGTATTTTATTTAATTAAAAATAAATTTTAAATAAAAAATATTAATTTTCTAGTTTTATTTGAATAAAAGAGAAATATACAATATTTGATGATATCATTAAATTTATTTTAATATCTGTAATAAATATTTAATGTATTGGGAGCCCATTGGGATTTATTAAGCCCACCAATCAGTGCGGCATGGGGCCCACGTGGGCACCCATAGGGTGATGTGCTCCCACCTCCTTATTCTTCTCTTTCTTATTTTGTGCCTTGTGTCATAAGCATGCAATTGATGGGAATATTTTAAGAAAGAGTTGGTGTAGAGATTTTGATTGATTTCAAAAAGAAAAAGTGTCAAAGATTTATTTAAATTAATTTAAGATTTTCTTTACATAATATTTGATTTGAATAGAGTTATAGAAACTGAGAGATAATAGTTTCATCTCATACATTTTAATCAGGCTGATCTAAAGAATGAATTGATAACATCTATTAATCCAACAGTCTCTATGATCAAATATCAAGATTGAGTCTCATAATGATGGTAAAACCCTAACCCTAAAAACCCTAGCTTTTGAGTTATATATAGGGGCCTCTTTCCACACACCTCATAACTTAACTTTCTTTCTCTCCCTAAGTCAAAGGGGTGGTATGCCCCTCTCTGATATCTCTCTTCTTTTCCCTTTGAACCCTAAGGGCTAGCGCACCCAAGCCATAAAAATCTAGCCCATAGGTATTAAATTTACGCTCATGTGTTAAGCTTTGGTCTAGTTTATCTCATGTTATGCTTTCTGCTCGTGCACCATTGAAGGAGGATATCCAGTGTGGGGTGTACGAAATCCTTGGGGATAACATGAGGCAAAGTATGCGGTATTTTCTTATCTTATGTTCTCATGATTTAATTTGCAAGTTTTATGTAATTTTCAGAGCTTTGTCAATGACAGCAAGTGAGAGTCATTAGCATTCTTTTGGTTCATAAAATTGTATTTGAACAATTGTAAGTGATTATGGTGGTTATGCATAGAAAATGATAGAAAAATTTCAATTGATATTGCCTTGCTTGGATCAGATAGCCTACCTTTCAATTTTGCTATCTCGAATTTTTAAAAGTGGGTATAACTTTGTTATTTTTAAAATTTTAAAAAAACACTGATCCAGATTAAAATCGCACGTTTTAAAATGACTTTCAGGGAGATTCGGTTTCGGTTCCCATTAAATATCGGCAATCGGCCAGTTCTATATGGGTACCGGCCAGTTCTTTATAGGAATTGAATGGTTCAATCGGCTCCTAGTTGGAACCAGCCTTTCTAAAATTTTATTTACTAGAGACCCCACATTTTTCATATAATTTTTATTCATTATAAATTTTTATTTATTCAAATTTTTATTATTTACTTGAGGCTCCACGTATCCATGACCGTACATACACTAAAATTAATCTCTAATATGAGATTAATTTTTTGGTGTTTAAAACTTGAACTTTTGCGAGCCACGAGCATTTACCCCATCTAAAATCAATCTCTCTATCTCATATTATTTTTTGGGCTCTATTTAAAATGACAGAAATTAATCATACCTCAAACAAAAGTCTCTGTACTTTTATGGGCTTGATTTAAATAACTAAAAACAACAAGATTACGAATAAAAAGTTGAAGTAAATTATAATGTTTAAAGAAAAAAATGCATAGGTAGATATCTAGATATAAAAAAACAAGATAATTAAAATGAAAAGAGTTTTACGTTGATTTTATCATGATATGTAATTTTGGTGTAAAATGTTCTTAAGATTATCTCAAAATCTATTTGTATATCTAATTATAAAATTTTAAATTTAAAAAATGGTTAAAATTAAGTAGATCTATAAACATATGAAAATCTTAAAAATGGACGGTGTAGATAATATGTTGTAAAATGCACTATTTCTGATAATTAAAATCTTTTTATTTTTCATGATCATACATCTCGATGTCGAGATGATCAATCAAAGGGTTTTTCAACATTAAAACCACCTTTTCCGATGGATTTTTGAGGTGCATTGGTGGTTCTACATGATAAAGTTGCATCCATACATGCACATTTTCCCTTTTTTTTTATCTATCCCATCTGTTATTATCATTTTTCCAGATCCCGTGGATGACTGATGAGACTGCCCAATCCCTTCCTTAAAACAAAAGAAAAAGTTTATATAAGGTTATAATAACCTTAAACAATAGAATTAGGATGCACCTCAAATATTATGGAAAGCGTTGTTTGAATGTTGAAAATCCTCTAATTGATCATCTCAATATCAAAATGTATGGATATAAAGACCAAACAAAATTTTAAGTCTTAAAAATAATATATCTTACAACACATTATTTGGACTGTTTATTTTCAAGATTTTTATTTAAAATATTTTTAGAGTTTAAAATTATATAATTAAAGATGAAAATAAATTCACATGTTATCCTAAAATTTATGGGAAAGCTTTCTATGTTTACCCTACAACATCGAAGTTCTATATTCCCTCTACCATCCAGCCGTCCATTTTTGATCAAGAGAGTCACTCACCGTTTGATCTTAGATTCGACGTCTCAAAGTATTTTATTTTTAGTTTTTTTAATACAATTTTTTTGAATATGAAATTTGGTACGTGCCATATTTTCATTGGGACGCACCTATAAAAAATATTAACAATAATTTTTAGATAAAAAATAATGACCAAAATACCCTTTAAAACTTTCAAGAATATTTTGGTCATTTTATTTTATTGAAAATAATTTTTTTATATATTTTTTTAGTGCAAGTTTAAAATAGGAATGATCGTCCAAAATTTGATTTCAAAACAGTTTATAGAAAAAAATTTAAAAATAAAACAATATAGATATATGATATTGCGATTGGAACAATATTAACCCCCTATTAAAAATTAGACGGTTGAATAAAAGAACAGCGAACCTCTATGTTGCAAGGGGAATTTCCCAAAATTTATTACATCAAACTATATATTATAATAAAATTTGAAGGTGCGCCCAATGTTTAGGATTGAAACCTGATGCAAACCTCACCATACATTTTTATATTTTATTGGACTTTCGAGTCGCCGCCTCTCTCCCACTCATAAATCTGGTTTATTTGGGTCGCGCCGTACGAAAACAGGGAAAATAGGGAAAGCGAAAAAAGTAGAACACGGAGAGAAAAACAAACAGAGGATAAAAATGTAAGTTATAGATTTGATTCACGGCAGGGCAGAGTTTATCACTGGATCCTTCCCTGAATATAATTAATGGTCGGAAGATGTCTTCTTCATCGGATTATTATTGTGTTTTGGTATTTGAAAGTCCGGTGATTTTGTGAATATAATTATGAGGGTTATGATGATCATTACATTGCAGGAGGGCTTCAGTGAATCGGCCTCCGACTCCTGATGCTGACGAGGATGATGATGATGGTGATGCTCATACTCAACACCACCACCACCACCAGCAGCTTACCCTCCAAGAAATCATCAACATCAAGGTCACTCTCTTTACTTGCCTTCTTAATTTTTAAAAAAATGATGGGAATTTTGGGGTTCTCTTTCTACTATTCTCTGTCCTTTTTTTTTTAGATACTCTTCGGGTTTTAGTCCTCGAGTGATCTGATGTTTCCTTTTCTCTGGTGTTCTCTTCCTTGTTTTGTTTGCTCTCATGATTTGGTTTGTAAATTTTTAATTGGACAATAAGGATTATTATTATTACTGTTATGTAAATTTAGCTCTTAATGCTTTTGATTTGATTTTTGCAAAAAAAAAAAAAGAAGAGAAGAAAAAAAGATGAAAGAAAGACGTGGAGTAGTTTTGTTGGACGTTTCTCTTGAATTTTTTTTTCTGACCGTTCATTACAATCTTGATCGACATTTTTTTTTTTCATTTTTTGAATTTTAAATAATTGGGTGATCATGTAACTTATTTTCTTTTGTTATTCTCACGTGGGAGTTCATTCTGTATAGTTGATTGAAAGCGGCGAGAAGGAGAAGCTAAAGGAACTTCTGCGAGAAAGGCTTATAGATTGTGGCTGGCGAGACGAAATGAAAGCTCTATGCAGGTTCTCTCTCTCTCTCATGGCTTTTTGTTCTGTGCTAGTTCATATGAGAGATTTTGGTTGCGGGGTTTAGGAATTGGATGTAGAAATGGCGTTTAATTGGTGAATATAACTGATCAAGAGAAAAAGAAAAGACTGGTTGGCGAATTGTGGTTTACCACTAAAGTATGATCGGCTCTACACAAGAGGTTGCCGGATTATGTCTGCTAGAGTTAAAAGTTTTACACACATAGATTCAATATCATTCTAAGCCTCGTAGGCATTCCTTGAGACATTGCATAAACTAAATTATTCATCACCTTCTTTAAATTTGCGGAAGTATAGTGGCAATATGTTTTTGGTTATCCTAGGAACCTACAAGATTAGCATTACTAGGAGCATCATCACAATCAAAGCCTTTTTGCAAACTATTTGGGGTCGGCTATATGAATCTTGGTCCATCAATCTGCTCTATCAAGGGCTATACCCTATCAAGGGCTATATGAATCCTGGTCCATTGTCCTAGCAAAATATGTTTTTGCTACTTCCAATCATGACTTTTTGGGCCTATCCCTTACTTTTTTTTAGCCTTCCACTTGAACTCTTAACAAGCGTTGTGCCAGGTCTGCGCTGCACATGGCCTGCCCACTTAAGTCCATTGTCTCTCATCTATCGTCTATTGGTGCCACACCTAAATTCTTTCAAATATATTTATTTCGAATTTGATCCCTTCTTGTCTTGTCACTCATCCATCTTTACATCCTCAGCTCCACTACACTCATCCTATGGATATGTTACTTCTTGACCACCCAGTATTTCGCCCCATAAAGAAAAACTGGTTTCACAGTACAGTTGTCGTTGCAGTGATCACATAAAACTCCGGTTGCACATCACCACTTTGCCTACCCAGCTCTAATTCTATGTGCGACATCTTCTGAAAATCTCTTCATTTTCTTGGATTATCGACCCAAAATATCAAAAGCGTACTCGTTTTTGGTATTTATTGGCCATCAATCTTAACTACTTCATTGTCTTTACTCTTATTATTAAGAGGAGCATGAGCTTTTAAAATTTCTACTCATTTGTAACATATGCAGTGCCATGTAATTTTCTCAATTCTTTTTGGTTTACAAATTCTGGTTTTGTTCTTGGGAATGCTGATGGAGACAGCTTGTTCTAGGATTTTGTAACGGTTCAAATAAAAAAAGGTGTGTGGCAGTTTATATAATAAGGAATGTATGATATGGCAAATCCAATTTATAAGGAACAATATCTAAGAAGGGGGTAATTAGGTATAATGCATACAAATTGATTTTAGGGAATAAAAATAGTAAGTAGGATCAATTATGAGTTGTGATTTCTATATTGCCTTTTATGACTTGATTATTGACTATAAAAAGGAGGGTTGGGTAGAGGGTAGAGTAGAGAAGAAAATTTGCATCGAGTATGTAGCCTCCTTGAAGTGGCTTATTTATCTTGTATGGAGGTTGCACCCTCGAAGTGCCATCAACTCGTGAGTTCTTGATTTTCCTACCATTATCGTTCAATTATTTATTGTTATTTTCCTTTATCCTGGAACTATTTTACTTGGGTTCATTCCACGTGGGTATCATTGCTCTTTCTTTGGGAATGATTCCACTTGATGTATGCATGTGCTTCGCCCTTGTTGGATCTTAACACATTAGAAATCGTGAACCAAACCATAAGGAAGAACTGACACTTTTTTTGTTTTTTGGACCACTTACTACCCATTGTTTTTCTTCACTATCTTTTCTTTTCCCCTTAGAGAGAGAGAGAGAGAGAGAGAGAGAGAGAGAGAGAGAGAGAGAGAGAGAGAGAGTAGCGTACGACGTAGTAGAACGTACGTACGTACGAGAAGTAGTAACGTAACGTAAACGTAAAGAAATAAGTAACGTAACGTAACGTAACGTA